CTCCCCCTCTCCCTCTCCCTCTCCCTCCCCCCCCGCTCAACCCTCCCCCCTGGGTCAGACTGGTTCGAGCTGCACTTCGGCGAGTCCGTCAGCGAGGAGATCCCCGACTCGGTGGAGATGATCCGGTCGCTGGAGGCCGCCGGTACCCGGTGGCCATGCACCCAGCTGCCGGCTGTCCCCCAGCTGGCCGATGACCAGCCCTCGTACACCAGCCTCCTCGGCAATGTTGCAGTCAGTGACCTGCTCGAGGCACCGGAGACCGAGCAACTTCTCGGCGACCTGATCGTGGACCCGGCCGTTCCGGCTCCCCTCTCGCAGCTGGGCGTGCGTGGCTGGGGTCCCGCCATGTGTCTGTCTCTGGCTTTTGCCACCATCCTTGCCTGCTTTCTGACCATCTGCCATTCTCTTTCTCTCTCCCTTTCTCCTTCCCCCTCGATCGCGGGCGCATGCACAGTACTCCAAGCGCATGGAGGATGCCTGGCTGGAGAAGGCCTACTCCGACGCGAGCGACGGTACGCCCCGCTTTCCTCTGCGAGCTTCCCTCGCCGCTCGCCCTGTTTTTTTTTTGCAAGCGCGTGTACACACACACGCACACACACACACACACACACACACACACACACACGCACATACCATACACACCGCCCCTTTCCGGCCCTCTCCCTCCCCCTTTCTCTCCCTCTCCCCCTCTCTCTCCCCCCCTCTTACACACACGCACACCCATATGCTACCCGCAACAGGCTGCCTCCCGCTGCATCGATCTCTGCTGGCCATCATGGCACAGTATCGGGACCTGCTGTTCGACGGGATGCCGGCGGCCGGGCCGGATGCGCTGGCCACCCGGCAGGCGGTGTCGCTGCACGCGGTGCACCATGTGCTGCGCGCGCAGCGGGCCATCCTCCGGCATAACCAGATGCTCGCGCAGCCCGGGGCCCCGAGTGACCTGGACTGCCGGGACCAGGGGTTCACCCGGCCGCGAGTGCTGGTGGTGACCCCCCTCCGCTCGACGGCCCTGGTCTGGCTGGACACCCTGATGGGCCTGGTGCCGGGGCAGATGCGCCGGCAGGTGCTCAACCGCAAGGCCACTCGCCGGGGGTACCTGGCGCCGGAGCTCTCCAGCCGCGAGAAGGCCCTGTACCAGCGGAAGCCGGCCGATTGGCGGGACATCTTCGGCGGGAACAACGACGATTGCTTCCGTCTTGGGATCAAGCTCAACCGGAGCTCGGTGGCCCTCGGCGCGGACGAGTACGAGAGCGACATCATCATCGCCAGTCCGCTGGGCATCCGCCTGCTGACCGGTACCGAGGGCGAGAAGAAGCGCAATTACGACTTCCTCAGTTCCGTGGAGATGGTGGTCGTGGACCAGGCCAACACCATCGCCATGCAGAATTGGGATCACCTCCTGGTACGCGGGGGTTGCGCCTGGGCGCCTGCGTCCCTCCTCTCCCCCCCCTCTCTCCCTCCGGCTCTGCATGGTCTGACATTCCACCCCCCTCCTCCCTTGCCATTGGTGTAGTCTCTCTTCGAGCATCTGAATTTGCAGCCTCGCGAGGCGCGCGACACCGACTTCTCTCGGATCAAGAACTGGGTCCTGGATGGCCAGTGCGTGCTGCCGCTCCTTCCTCTCCTTCTCCCTTCCTGTCCGCTGTTCGTCGGTGCTTTTGCTTCCTCCCTGTCCTCCTGACCGCGTTTCCACGGTCCCTCTCTCCCTCTCCCCCCCCCCCCCCTTCCCCTGCGCCGGGCGCCATTTGGCTTGCCACAGCTCCAAGTACCTGCGGCAGAACATCTTCCTGTCATCGTTCCTCTTCCCGGAGCTCAATGCGCTCTTCTCGCGCTACTCCCTCAGTGCGCAGCAGACATCCACCCGACATTTGTCCTTGTTCTTTCCCCGGCCACCTCCCTGCCTGTCCATTCGCCCTCGGCCGACCTGCTGACTCCCCTTCGGCCCACTTGCTCAGACCACTCGGGCCGCGTTCGCGCCACGCAGCCCGTCCCTCGAGGCACCATCGGCCGTGTGATTGCGCCCGTCCAGCAGGTCTTCCACCGGGTGCGTGTCAAGTCCCTGTCGGGGTTGGATGACGAGCGCTTCGGCTTCCTGGAGGATGTCATCCTGGCGCCGATGCTCCACAAGCACCGGCGCATCTTGCTGGTGGTCCCCTCGTACTTGGAGTTTGTGCGTGTCCGGCGCATGCTCAAGGAGCGCAGCATCAGCTTCGTGGCCGCGCACGAGTACCAGTCTTCCGGCGAGAACAGCCGGGCGCGGTCCTTCTTCCGGGATGGCCGTGCCGAGCTGCTGGTCTACACCGAGCGTCTGCATTTCTATCGCCGGTGCGTGTTCCCTTTGCCCCCTCCTGCCTTTCCGGCTCCTTCCTCCTCGCCGGCGCTTGTGCCTCGCCTCTCTTGCCCGCCCGCCCGCCCGCCCGCCCCGGCCCCTCCCTACCGCGAACTCACATGCACGCCCGCCTGGCCACCGGCTCCCAGTCTCAACATCATCGGCGCCAAGCACCTGGTCTTCTATGCCCCTCCGACCAATGGCCAGTTCTATCCGGAGCTGGTGAACATCCTGTTGAATCCGATCCCGGCGGACACGGCTGGCGGCCCTGCGGGCCGGGCGACCGGCGGTTCCGATGACGAGGATGGGGCCGGCAGTCGCCGGGCCCCGACGGCCACCCTGGACAACGACGGTGACCGGACCTGCTCGCTGATCTTCTGCCAACCTTTCGATGCGCTGGCCCTGGCGCGCATCGTGGGCGAGGGTCGCGCGCGGAAGATGCTCACCGGCGAGCAGGACGCTTTCATGTTCAGCTGAGTACACGCATCGGCGGGACCGTCATACACATAGAGAAAAGGGAGTCCCCCCTCCCCCCCCCCCCCCCCCCTCCCCTTGTTGGTATCAAATGGACTCCCTTCTGTTGACTTTGTCGTGTCGCTGCTTCAGCCTCGCTCCCCTGCCTGGGGAAGGGGGAGCATGGGCAGACGCGGCGTGCGCGAGTGTGTATGCACCCGCGCACGCGCACACACAGGCGTTCACAGGGAAAGCGGATGCGCGCAATGCCCAAGGGCGGTTTTGATGGATTGAGGTTTATATAGTCGGTCTGTGATGGGAAAAGGGGGGGAACGGAGGGCCATGCCCGCACACGGAAGGGAAAGCGAGCATGTCCCCCGGCTGTGAGGGGCGCGCGACCGGGAAGGGGGAGATAAGGGGAGAGAGCGGGCAGGAGGATGCTCTGGAGGCCTCTCTTACTCGGACTCCTCCGAGGCCATGACAGCGTACTTGGCACCGAGAATCGGGATGTTGGCCAGGACGTCGCGGCGGAAGATGGGGATCGGCTCGAGGAAGAAGCTGCCACCCACAGTGAGGGTGACACCCCAGATGGCGAAGGTGGGCATCCTGCAAGGCGCGGCGTCGAGGGGGAGGGTCAGTCGCGTGGGAGGAGGCGGAGGCTCTCGCCGGGATGCATGCGTAGGAGGGGGCCCCGGTCACGGGCGCGCCTTTCAGAATGGGGCGGGGCACGCACCAGTCGATGAAGCGGGCGACAGAAATGCCGAGGAAGCGGGGGGAGCCGCCGCGGTAGACGATGGAGGAGAAGCCGGCCATGGCTGTGCACGGGTACAGACACACGCACACACGTGCACGCGCGTGCGTTCGAACAGGGCGGTGGGAGCGAAGTACCAGTTAGCCAAAAGATCAAGAGACACCAAGTGGGAGTGCCCCGCACGCATGCGAGCGGGAGGGACAAAAGGGCAGGTTTCCCCGGCCCGGCACCGGCTCCTCCGCGTCGCACAGCGCGTGGCTGGTTGTCCAAGGCGGCAGCCAGAGCCGGGCCCGACGGGTCGAGCAGGAAGGCGAGTGCGGGGAGCGGCCCCGGGGCGGGGCGGGGCGGGAAGAGAGAGAGAGAGATGGAGCGGGAGAGAGAGAAAGAGGGGAGGGGGGGAAGACAACACAAAGGAAGACAGGGAGGGAAAGGGAGGGCGGGGGGGAGATGGGCGGGAAGTACTGGAGGAGAGCAAGAAACAACGGGAGGGGAGGGGAGCGTTGCGACTTTGGTTGGCAGGGCACGGGTTGCAGAGGGCGCCATTTGGCTGCCTCTTCGGCGGGCGCCCCCACCCCGGCCGCAGTTGCCCCCCCCCCCCCCCCCCTCCCCTGGCCAGCGCCGGCGCCTCTGTTGACACGCCCCGTCGTTGGCCGCGCCCATGACGGGCGCCCATGTGCAGCGGCGGAGTGTCCCGGAGGGAATCGCATCCGGTTGTGCGTGTCGCGTTGATCGTGCACGCCGCAGGCCCAGGTCGCGGGAGTCGACGGCCCCCGCCCGCCTGCCCGCCCCCCCCCCGCTGGTCCCGCACCCCGGTCCGTCGGCGTGCTCGCGCGAGGGTTTCACGTTCTGGGATGAGCAGCTCAGCGCCGGCCCGAACGGAACGGCATTCCGGCCCCACCGCCGCCGGGGCACATGATATCGCGATGCGTCGGGAGCACTCGTCAGTGGCGCGTGTTCCCATCTTCGGGCGGCGGCCGGGGGGGGGGGGGGGGGGCAGCGGCGAAATTGCGCGTGAGTCTGTCCCCCGGTGTTCCTTCAGTCTGCCCCCTCTCCCTGTTTTTTCCCTTCTTTTGGCGCTAATTATTTGTCTATATATTGTACATTATTTGCCAGACCGCGCGACACAGAGATCGCGCGGTGTGTGCGTTTCCGGCGCATGCTCTTGCTCTGATCGCCACCGGCCGGCGCATGTCCCTGGAGGCACGCGCGCGCGCGCGCGCGTGCCAAGCCCCAAAAAGCAATGCCAGGCGTCCTTCTCGCGCCGGCCGCCCTAGAAGGGCGGCTCGCCGGAGCCCTCCGGCACAAGGAACCCCACCAGACACTCCTGCAGGAGGAATTCGAAGTTCACCCAAGCATGGGTCTTGTCTGCAGGCAGCCGGGCGGGGAGGAGAGGGGGAAAAAAAAAGAAGATGCGTGCGCCGGTGAGTGGGCAGGCCGGGTGCATCGTCAGAAAGAGGGGAGGGGGGGGGGCAACGAGGGCGGGCCATGCCGCGCGCGCCGGGCCGCCATCGGGGAGACACGTACCGAAGAGGGCCGTGGCGTCCTTGCCACACCCGGGCTGGAGAACCTCCGCGCCGCCGGGGTGGAAGTTGGCGTACTGGCGGATGTTGTACACCTTGCCGCGGATGGCCATCCAGGGGTCCGGCGCACCGACCGGCGCATAGATATCCCCATGCTGCCGCAGCTCGCTGGGGTTGATGCGGCGCGGGCGCGGCTGGCCGGACTGCGTTCCCAAGCCGGCGACAGGAGAGGCATCGGTCAGTCGTCGGCAAACATGCAGCACGTCATGGCGACAGCAGAGGGGGGGGGGG